CATTTACCCAAAGGAAAAAAGGTTGAGAGGGCAAGGAGGGGCAGGGAAGCTAACACGGAAACAGAACACGCAGAAGGGAATACAGAAGAGGCTGACACGTCGTCAAACTTGTAACCAAGGACGCGGAGCAATGTGTATAAAAACTGTCCAAACCCACGGCCACGGAATCAATTCCAACTGACAGTGACCCAAGAGGGTGAAGTAGAATCGTTTCATTGAGTTTCCAAGACTGTAAATCTTTACTGAAACAGAAAAGTTCCTCTTTCTCTGGCAAAGTCGCCGGTGGGTTCTAACTGCTGGCCTGTGGTTAGCAGTTCAGCACATAAACCACTACGCCACAGGGTGACTTAAAATTGTCGAAGGAGAACCTAATTTGCTTGCAAACTTTGACCTAAAACATGATGGTTGTAATCTAGGATAACAGTTTATATACTATTATGTCGGATTGCAATACAATGTAGTATGATAAAATACTGTATTAGTAATAATGACAAATAAAAGTACACAGTAATGTGTTGAGTTTCTGTGATGGATTTAGTAGGAAAGATGTTCCATATCCCAAACCAGCCCCACTGCAATCTATTTGGTTCTGCCTCACAGCTGCCCAGGACAGGATCCCGGGGGCTTTGTAACTCTTCCCACGACCAGACAGCCTCGACTGGCCAATACCGTCTGTTTCCTGGAAAGTGGGTAACTGGCCCCTCTAAGACGCAGCCATTGGTGTCCACTTGCCCGGAGCACACGTTCCTTTCTTCCAAGGAACCCGTGTGGGTTTGAACCGCTGACTTTGTGGGAACCAGGCCAACGGTTACCCCCTGCCTTCAAGTCCCTTCTGACACGTACGAACCTAGAGGCCAGGGTGGAGCAAACCCACAGCGCTTCCAGGCGTCGCAGGAGCACAGAGCCACAGCTTTCTCCGGCGGTGTAGTCGGTGGATTCAAACTGGCAACCTTTTGGTGAATAGACGAGCACTTAACCGCTGTGCCACCAGGGATCCTTCTCTATCGATTTTTTGTAATATCAATCATTTTATGGGGCTCTCTTACAGCTCTCGTAACAATCCATACACCCTTTGTATCAAGCACACTTGCGCATACGTTGCCGTCATCATCGCCAACACATGTTCTTTCTACTTGGGTTCTTGCTACCGGCGCCTCCTTTTTTCCCTCCCTCCCCACTTCTCTATCTGTTTTACCACTTCTGAATGGTTCCCGCTGTTGTGGATTGAATTGTGTTCCCAAAATATGGGTTCAGTCCTACACACGGAGCCCGGGAAGTGAGCCCTCGGTGGTGCAAAGGCTAAGCAGGAGCTTACTAACCGAAAGGCTGACTGCGGAACCCCCGAGGCCTCTCGGGAGAAAAGTCTGAAGCTCTCTTTCTGAAAGCTCACAGTCCAGAAAGCCATGGAGGAGCTCCACTCTGACACAGATGGGGCTCACAGTGTTGGAACTGACTCAACAGCCATGGGTTTAGCTGGCTTGGGTGCCTACAAATATGACTGCTTGGAAATAGATAGGGCTTTTCTTTGGTTATCTTAATGAGGGATACCAGAAAGAGCAGATCCACACACAGACTCACACAGGAGCGTGCAGAGGAGAGACTACGGAGACAGACGCTCCCACACACCCAGAAACGCCCGGGATTGAAGACAGTGACCGGGAAGTAGGAGGTCCGTGGGAGAATCCGCACAACCGAAATTCCGACGGACACTGTGACCGTGTGCGTGGGGAGAAGACGCCTTTCTGTTTACGGCGTAAAGCCGTCCACTTGGGCTAGTCCTGTTCCAGCACCCACCTCTCCCGGCTGCCACCCCCCCCCCAAACAAAGCATGACCATAGAAAATGGTAGGCAAGCCCCAATGTTGAAAAAGGCTTCAAAACAGCTTTCAAAACAGCTGGCCTGTGTTCTTCAAACACGTCTACGTCATAGGAGACAAAGACAGGCCAAGAGGCGGTCCCCACCCTAAAGGACACTCCAAAGACATGTCACCAAAATGCAACCAGTGACCCTGGGTCCGATGCTGGACCCACAGCCAAGGAAGATCATAGATGACCTGGGTGGAAACATAGCTGAATTAAGGAAGGCAAATAAAGCATGGGGGGAATTAATGGAATGTGAGTATGAGCTATAAATTAAAGAATAGTCTCACATCAGTCTACATTTCCTGACTTTAATCATTATCCTGTGATTGTGCAAGCGCATGTTCTTGTTAGGAACCACCCTTAGGGGTAAAAACTTACCCTCAACTGGCTCAGGGGAAAAAACAGAAAACTCGCGCATATTCACAGAGAAATGATGGTGACAGCCAAAGGGACAAAGTGTCATCAGCGAATCTAAGGGCTATCTAGATACGATAGGCTGGATCAACAATCTGGAGGAGAAAACAAAGGGACTCATGGTTCCGGGTGGAGGGACCTGGGAGAGGGGGTCGTGGCGGAAGGGAAGTGGTGTTAAGAAACCCACAGATAAGAGAACAACAAGTGATCCAAAATCAATAGCCAGGAGGGTGTAGGAGGCCTGGTAGGGCTTGATCAAGGGCAATGTAACTGAGAGGAATGACTGGAACCTAAATGAAGGCTGAGCATGATAGTGGGACAAGAGGAAGAAAGTAAAAGGAAATAGAGGAAAGAACTAGGAGGCAAAGGGCATTTATAGAGGTCTAAATGCAGGCATGTACAGACATAAATATATTTGTATATGATGATGGGGAAATAGATCTATGTGCATATATTTATAGGTTTAGTATTAAGGTAGCAGAGGGACATTGGGCCTTGACTCAAGTACTCCCTCAATGCAAGGACACTTTGTTCTATTAAACTGGCATCATGCTCACCTTCCCAACAAAATCGCTGAAGATAAAGCGGGTGCATAAGCAAATGTGGTGAAGAAAGCTGATGGTGCCCGGCTACCAAAAGATATAGTGTCTGGGGTCTTAAAGGCTTGAAGGTAAACAAGCAGCCGTCTAGCTCAGAATCAACAAAGCCCACATGGAAGAATCACACCAGCCTGTGTGATCATGAGGTGTTGAAGGGATCAGGCATCAGGCATCAAAGAACAAAAAATCATATCATTGTGAATGAGGGGGAGTGCAGAGTGGAGACCCAAAGCCCATCTTTAGGCAACTGGACATCCCCTTACAGAAGGTTCACCGGGAGGAGATGAGTCAGTCAGGGTGCAGTGTAGCAGCAATGAAACAGACAACTTTCCTCTAGTTCTTTTTTTTTTTTCCCCTCTAGTTCTTAAATGCTTCCTGCCCCCCACTATCATGATCGCAATTCTACCTTACAAATCCGGCTAGACCAGAGGATGTGCACTGGTACAGATAGGAACTGGAAGCACAGGGAATCCAGGATGGATGATCCCTTCAGGACCAGTGGTGAGAGTGGCAATACCAGGAGGGTGGAGGGAAGGTGGAGTAGAAAGGGGAAACTGATTACAGGCATCTACATATAACCACATCCCTGGGGGGCGGACAACAGAAAACTGGATGAAGGGAGACGTCGGACAGTGTAAGATATGACAAAATAATAATAATTTATAAATTATCAAGGGTTCATGAGGGGGGGGCAGAGAGGGAGGGGGAAAATGAGCTGAAACCAAGGGCTCCAGTAGAAGCAAATGCTTTGAGAATGATGATGGCAACTAATGTACAAATGCGCTTGACACAATGGGTGGATGGATGGATTGTGATAAGAGTTGTACGAGCCCCCAATAAAATGATTCCCAAAAAAAAGTAGGATTTTTGGTTTCTTCAGGACAAAGAAGTCCCTTTAGTGGTTTTCCTTATCCCAGTTTTCTGTTCTAACACAACGGCATTCCCTCAATCCCAGGGAACAGCGCTCAGTCAAGGGAAGGAGTGATGGGGGGAAGGGGAAAAAACAAAAAGCCGTTGACACCCAGTCAAGGGGGACTCGGGGTCACTGCTTCACAAGACTGTCAGGGACTCTGCTCCCCCCCCACCCCCTGAGGCAGGTCATCAAGACCCTCCTTTTGAGGGTCCTATCTACGGGCAGAAGACTAAAGCAGGCCGCATGCTCCTTGGAGGCAACAAGGTGGAACTTACTGTCTGCAAACCAGTCCCTGGAGAAGGCACCGTGCTTGGTAAAGATGGATTGACACTGTAGCCGCATGGATGGGCTCAAACATGAGGACAAGTGTGGGGCTGGCACAGCACCCAATGGTGTTTCTGTTGTGCACGGGGTCGCTACGAGTCGAAGCCAACTCAACGCCCCAAACAACAACAACAACGGGCTAGACTTGAACCTCTACCCTTGTGATGCACAGCCACACCTGTCTGCACTACCAGAGCCTCCAGCAGAGGGAATCCACACAACATTCAATACTGTTGACACAGGCTCCAGACTGCAGGATGGAAAGTACACCGGTCAAGATGTTCCCCCAAACCATCGGAGCCTCCTGCCCGGTCCCTAACAAGAACAACAGCAACAAAAGTCCCCTATGAGGGCCAGGGTGAGGCCCCGAAGTGCCCTGCGTTCCCTGCCCCCAGGCTGGGTGGTCTCAAAGTATGGGCCGTTTCAGCTGTGCTACCAAGTATGTGTCCTGACCTCCCCCAACCAGGGTCTTCTCCTGGGAAGAGGAATAGCCAGGTCTCACTGAGGACACTTCGGATTCCAGGCCACGCACGCCGGCCACCTCGCAGTCCCAGCTCAAGAAAGCAGAAGCCACACCAGAAAGAGAGGGACAGGGACTGCCCCAGGCCTCACTTGTGGGTCCTCCCCTCCCAGCACCTGCCATCCAGCCTATTCTGTGTCACCCTCCACACTCTCCTACTTCCCCCCACCTCCCTAGGGGCTGCCAGTGAGGCCCCTCCCTCATCCCCCCTGTTTCTCCACACCCTCCACACACACATCACTAGGGTGTCCAGGACATTGTGTGACTCAGGAAACAGCTCAGACGTGAGGCTTGCAGCAGACTGCGGAGGAAGGAGAAGGGGCAGTTGGGAGCAGAGGAGGGGGCTCCTGCCTCAGGGAGGCTCTGGGGGTCCCTGCCTGAAGAGGGAGAGGGGACCCGGAGTTTGGGGCAGGGACTCTGGAATGCAGCCCCCCTCGCTGCTGCTGCTGCTGCTGTTGCTACGGTGTTTCTCCGTGATCAAAACCAGAGGTGAGGACTGCAGAGGGGAGAAACGGGGAACCCGCTGCCCTAGAAGGATGTCTAGGGGGGTCGCGGGTACGGAAGAGGATTGAGCACCAGGCTCTGAGGAGTTGTTGGTGGAGAATATCTTTGTCCCACCATGGGGACAGCCTATGGGAGAGGCGATTCAGCCAAGGCCTTGGGCCCATTGCCAGAGGAGGTGGCTACTGGGGGATGGGCAAGGGGGTGCCCTCCCCCAGAGACAACCCAGTCCATCCTGGAGCTGAGAGGCAGAGGACTCTGGCAACCCCGTTAGGCGGGAAAGACAGAATCGACTTACCACCTGCAAAAGGTGAGGGGCCAGGAGATGGAGACCGGGAAAGGTCAAGGGCCCACCAAGTTCCTTTCCTGGTCCAGCTGTCCCCACCCCCCCGGATGGCTTACTGCTTGGCCCTTCCGGGAGGAAATCCCTTCCACGTCTCAGCCATTCACCTCCAGGGAGCTGCCCCCCACCCCACACCCCCCGGATTCCTGTTGTCTTGCTTCCCAGGGATGGAGCCTGGGGCTGGAACTGAAGGCCAGAGAATAAACAGGAAAGGGGGGAGTCAAAACTGAGAGGCTGAGACCTGGGGGCTGGGGTGTGGGGACCACGTGGGGACTGGGGACAGAGGACAGTGGTTTAGAGAGCACGTGGCTGGGCTGCCACGGGCAGGTCCCTGGAAGAGGAAAGGCGGAACATCCCTCCCAGCTCTCACCTTCCCTCTCCATCCGTAGGGCTGCTGTGCAGGAGTTTCCCAGAAGCCTGTGCCAATGGGGGCAGCTGCCTGATGCTGTCTCAAGGCCAAGAGGCTTGCCAGTGAGTGTGCCCTAGGGGGGTAGAACCCTGGAGAAGAGAAACGGGGAGAGCTGAGGAGGAAGAGTCCGGAAAGAGGGGGAAAGGAAGAAGGAAGGAGGCAGGGGAGAGGGAGGGGGGCGTGAAGGCCAAAGAGTGCAGGTGATAAGTCAGTCTGAGAAGGGAGCCAATAGAGTGACTCTCCTCCTTCCTGCCCAGGTGTGCCCCTGGCTTTCTGGGTGAGACGTGCCAGTTCCTTGACCCCTGCCAGGATGCCCAGCTCTGCCAGAATGGGGGCAGCTGCCAAGCCTTGCTCCCTGCCCTCCCCAGCTCCCCTGGGCCACCCTCTCCCTTGGGGCCCAGTTCCCCTGGCCCACCCTCTCCCTTGGTGCCCAGTTTCTTCTGCACCTGCCTCCTTGGCTTCACTGGCGAGAGGTGTCAGACCCAGCTGGAGGACCCCTGTTCTCCCTCCTTCTGCTACCAGAATGGCCGCTGCCACATCCAGGCCTCTGGGCTCCCCCAGTGCAAGTGCTTTCCTGGATGGACAGGTAAGTGCTGATGAAGGTGCGTCTGGGATGGGGAAGACAGAACTAGAGCCTAGAGCAATGATTCTCAACCTTTCTTACACGAAGACCCTTTCATACAGTTCCTCATGTGGTGGTGACCCCCCAACCCTAACATTATGTGCATTGCTACTTCGTCACTGTCATTTTGTTACTGTTATGAACCGCACGGCCTTTGTGAAAGGGTTGTTCGGCCCCCAAAGGGGTCGCAACCCACAGGTTGAGAACCGCTGGTCTAGAAGGACAGAGACCATGAGGATCAACAAGCCAATTCCTTTTTTTCTTTTTAATCATTTTATTGGGGGCTCGTACAACTCTTATCGCCTTCCATTGTGTCAAGCACATTTGTACATTTGTTGCCAGCATCGTTTTCAAAACATTTTCTTTCTACTTGAGCCCTTGGTATCAGCTTCTCATTTTCTCCCTTCCTCCCCCACACTCCCTCCCTCATGAACCCTTGATAATTTATAAATTATTAGTATTTTTTCATGTCTTACACTGACTGACGTCTCCCTTCACCCACTTTTCTGTTGTCCATGCCCCTGGGAGGCGGTTATAGGTAGATCATTGTGATCGGTTCTCCCTATCTCCCCCCACCTTCCCCTTCCCCTCCTTGTATGGCTACTCTCAATATTGGTCCTGAACAAGCCGATTCCTGGTGACCACTAACCTAAGAATGGCATTCGCCAGTCTAGGGACAGTGTTTGTTAAAATGTTAAAACATTTTCAAATCAGTTGATAAGTAGCTACTGCCATGAGCCCCCTTAGTGAGCTCCCTTCCTCCCTCTCTTGACCCTCCTCAGATTCGCCCCCTCGCCCCCCCCGCCTGACAGCAGCAGGTTTATCGCCACGCCCACCAAAGGGTCTCCCAGGACCCTGCATTCCGAGCATCTGAACGGCCCCTGTGCTGCACGGTGCAGCGCAGGTGGTCACCTGGAAGGCCAGCCGTGGGAGGGAGCCGTGGTGGGAGTCGGGTGGCGTGGACTTGATGCTGATGAGGCAGTTGGGGCCCATTCCAGGAGAAAGGCTATGGGACAGGCCGGATGGGCTGCCCTCAGCCACGTTGTCAGAAGGGCAGGGACAGAGCAGCAATGCCCTGGAAAGCAGGGGCCCACAGGCTCCAGCCAGGATGGCAGAGGCTGGACCAGGACATAAAGGCCACCTGGGGAAGAAGCACTTGGAAAGTGCAGCCGCCCCCAGAGAGGGTGCGACCGTGAACGTGAATTGGAGGCAAGGCTTCTGGAACTCGGCCGGTGTGGCAACCCAGCTGGCAGCTTCAACATTTCAGATGTGGCCCACCCAGAAAGGCGGGGCTCATAGGTCTGGGGAGGGCTCAGGACGTGGGGAGTGTTCAAAGCTGCCCGGGTCAAAAAAAATAGCATCTGGGTCTTAAAGGCTTGTCTTAAAACAAGCAGTGATATAAGTGAGCTCAGAATCCATTTGCAGGGTCCACACATGGATTAAGCCACTGGTGAATCCCCTCTCAAAATAGTCAAAGAAGAATAGCCTTGGCCTCAGACAGAGAGTATTGTAAAGTAGATTATGGAAAATATAGATAGGGTAAAATGTCACATCTTATTTGATCTCCCTTTGGACCTATTTTCAACTTGTTTCACTTTTTAATATTTTCTGCTTTCTTTTCTATTGAGGTTTTTCTCCATTTTGTTTTGTCATTGTTGTTTTGTTTGTTTGTTTATTGTTTTATTTTGTATGATTTGCTCTATGTGAAATCCAGGGTAGATAAATCTACAGAAGCAATAACTGGATTAATAAATACCTAGGGACATGGCTGGCAAGCGTGAGGGGAATTGGGAAGCTAACCATAGTGAATACGAGAAAGAAAAAAAACTGGTCTGAAAATTATTGTGGTAATTATTTAACAACTCTTCTTAATATAATTCAACAATTTAATTGTATATATTAATTATATGCCAATAAAATGATATTGTAAAAGTTAAAAAAAAGAAAAAAGAGCTGCCCGGGTGTTTCAGTACTAAAGCAGACAGTAAGGAAACTAGACCTGAGACCTGGTGTGAGGAACCGGGAGTCAGACAGCGTATGTGATAATGAAGAGGACAATGCTGGCGTGACCCACGTTTAGTCATTTGGGGGTGGGGAGGGGTGGGTTCCAAGGTACACACTGGGGCCAAAAGCCAGGGGTGCCACTGACCTTGCACAAGACAATGACGCTCAGTTGTCAGCCGACAAGTTAAGATATTAAAGGGCGCAAGGTGGTTGCTGAAAGGACAAGAGCGCTTCCTGAGCTCCATCCCCAGCACATAGTAGGTGTACAAGGCACTAAACTGTGGCTAGGCCACGGCTGACTGTCACCACTAGTGCCTGTGGTCTGTGAAGTTGGTATGGCTATCAGAATGCCTACCTAAAGGTGGGGGTCGCTAGACCCACCTACAGGTGAGGTAGAGACCCTGGGTGTTCAGGTCACGTGCTCGGCCGCTAACTAAGGTGGGAGCTCACCGAGAGACCTGCAGATCTGCTTCCCCAAACCGCGCAGTGCCGACCCACCTGGGGCCGCCGTGGGGCGGAGTGGGCTCTGTGGCAGCTGGTAACGATTCCGAAATCAGGATCAGAAAGGCCAAGTGACTGGCGCAAGGTGCACCGCCGATTGTAGCACAGCGACGGGCAATGTGGGCAATGAACCTGCCCACAGACGCCATGCGCTTTCCTCTGTCTTTTTAAACCTGCCCCTGAAAAGTCATCCCCGCAGGGTTTCCCATCTAGCGTACCCACAGCATGAGACACCTGCCCTATTTCCCTTTGGGGAAAGATGGTCAGTCCGGAGACAACCGTCCCAAGGCATGGCAAAAAGAGGCAAGGGGCGGCGACGAGGGGTGGGTGCATTAGGAGATCAAGGATAGTGAGGACGGTAGACAGACTGGAATGTGTGCCACTCAGAAAAGCCCCCCTCTCACCTCTGCCACAGGCGAGCATTGCCAACTGCGAGAGTTCTGCTCAGCCAACCCCTGTGTCAATGGCGGGGTGTGCCTGTCCACGTACCCCCAGATCCAGTGCCACTGCCCACCTGGATTCGAGGGCCATGCTTGTGAACACGATGTCAACGAGTGCTTCCAGGAGCCAGGACCCTGCCCCAAGGGCACCTCGTGCCATAACACCCTGGGCTCCTTCCAGTGTGTCTGCCCCCCAGGGCGGGACAGTGCCCTCTGTGGACTCCGAGCTGGACCTTGTCCTCCCAGAGGCTGTCTCAATGGGGGGACCTGCCAGCTGGTGCCAGGGGGAGACTCCATCTCCCACATCTGCCTCTGCCCACCAGGTATGTCCTCACCAGGCCCTGCCTGCAGCCCCTTTCCCTGGGCAGGGAGGGCCGTCTCCCCTGGCAGCCCCAGCCCTTAGCTGATCCCAGGCCTCCGCCAGGCTACACAGGCCCAGACTGCGAGGTGGACCCGGACGACTGTGTTGGGCACCAATGTCAGAATGAGGGTACTTGCCAGGATGGGCTCAATGCCTATACCTGCCTCTGCCCGGAGACCTGGACAGGTGAGTGATTGAAGCCGCGTCCATCGGTGGCCCATCACCAGCCCAAAGGCCTCAGCCCAGGTCCTCCTCCCCACCCCCCACAGGCTGGGATTGCTCTGAGGACGTGGAGGAGTGTGAGGCGCAGGGTCCCCCTCGCTGCCAACATGGGGGCACCTGCCAGAACTCGGCTGGGGGCTTCCACTGCGTGTGTGTGAGCGGCTGGGGAGGCCCCGGCTGCGAGGAGAACCTGGACGACTGTGCCGCCGCCACCTGCGCCCCAGGATCCACCTGCGTCGACCGCGTGGGCTCCTTCTCCTGTCTCTGCCCACCTGGCCGCACAGGTATGGGACCAGCGGAGCGCACCGGAGAGGTGGAGGGGCAGGGGAGGGGGAGAGAAGCACCCAGAGGGTAGCCGGGAGCTTCTGGTGGCCTCTGAGAGCCTCCCTCACTGCCTGCTGTCCCCTCCCCCAGGCCTTCTGTGCCACCTGGAGGACATGTGTCTGAGCCAGCCCTGCCACAGGGAGGCCCAGTGCAGCACCAACCCCCTGACAGGCAACACCCTCTGCTTGTGTCAGCCGGGTTACTCTGGGGCCACATGCCACCAGGACGTGGACGAGTGCCTGATGGGTGAGACCCAGCGCAGCAGCAGATGTGTTTGGGGGGGCGGGGGTGGGGAGGGGGGCAGTAAGCCAGACAAGCCTCCGTACCCAAGCCAGAAGGGAGCCGGCATCTTGCCAGCTCCGGCATCTCTTCACCAAGCCACCGGCTGCACGCCCCATGGGTTTCCCCCCAGTCGTCCTCCGTCTTGAAGCCAAACATATACTACGAATGAGTACGCCCTGCTTGTCCCGACTCCCAGTTCTTCTCTCCCGCAGCCCAGCAGGGCCCCAGTCCCTGTGAGCACGGCGGCTCCTGCCGAAACACCCCGGGCTCCTTCGACTGCCTCTGCCCTCCCGGCTACACCGGCTCCCGTTGCGAAACCAACCACAACGAGTGCTTGTCCCAGCCCTGCCACCCAGGCAGCACCTGCCTGGACTTGCTCGCCACCTTCCACTGCCTCTGCCCACCAGGTAGTGGCGAGATGGGGCGTCCGCGGGAGTCGGGGCGTGGGGAGATCGGGAACAGATCCTGTCTCTACCAGACGGAGTGTGCTCTCAGAGCAAGGAGGGCCTCGGGCCTGCTGGGGTCAGGTATCAAGGCTGTTTCTTCTCCTCTCCCAGAGGAAGACGCCCTAAGGGCTAGGAGAAGGGCGATCACCAATAGGTGATAGCAAGGTAGCAAGGAGCTCCCGAGCCAGGTTCCCCAGGTGAGAGGAGAAAGGTAGCCAAGGCTCAGAGGGTATGCCGGCCGGCCGGTCTCAGCCCGGGTGAGGCAGTGGAGACCAGGAGCGGCCCAGAGAGGGGGTGGCAGAGCTGCACACAGGCCCTGCAAACCCCCGCTTGGAGACTGCTGGTCTCCCTGGTAGCAAGAAGAATGAATCACCCTGCAAGTTGCTGCCCAAGTCAGGATCTCAGGTCGGGGGTCCACCCCCTGGTGAGCACTGCCACACACACACACACACACACACACACATACAGGAATGGCCCCCGAAAGGCACTGGAAGGAAGCTGAGACCCTGAACGCACGCAGAGGCCTGGGGCTTTGGAGATTAACGCCTCCTACCCACAGCCAAAGCATTCCCGGGTGGGCTGCCCAGTGGGAGCCCGGGCAAGGCTGGCTCTAGAACCTGGAGTCCCTGGACAGAAGGGGGCCGGCTAAGGGAGGCCTGGCCTGGCCCAGGCTCCCCCAACACATGCCGTGTCCTCAGGCTTGGAAGGGCCGCTCTGTGAAGTGGAAATGGACGAGTGTGCCCCGGCCCCTTGCCTGAACCACGCTGGCTGCCAGGACCTGCGCAACGGCTTCCTGTGCGTCTGCCCGCCCGGTGGGTGCAATGCCCTGCAGCCCCTGCACCCCGGCCCTCTGAAACCCCAGAGGTCAGGCCAGCGATCTCCCAAAGCCTGCTGCCGTTTTTCTTGTATATACCCATTTAGCGGTCTGTCTGGTGAAAGTTTACCTGACAAACAAGGTCCCCACCGAACAGTGTTTCCGTAAGTTATCCTCGGACGTTGTTTACGGTGCTCACTATGCGCCAGCCCTCTCGTGCCCGTCGTAGCCGCCATATGCCGTGTGCAACGGCACAGGATGGGATTTGGACATTGTGGAAGCACTGCCGTATACATGCGTGTAGTTGATGCTAGGTGCATGATCTTGTGCATGCGTGTGTCCCCTGGACTGCAAGTGTGTCTGTTCACAAACCTGTCTTTAAGTCGTGGAAGTGGAACTGCGAGGGACGGTTCGTATCTAAAGCATCTTTAACGCGTCACGCAGGGATCATAGCAATGTTCCCGGGGCGAGGCGGGACCTAGCGGGATGTTGTGTGCAGTGTGACTGCATTTCCATTGTCCCTTTTGCCTCCATTGCCTCAGCGTCCCTTCCCATCCTGGGGTCATCTTGGCCTTCGGTTGAGTGTCGGCCTCCTGCAGGCCACTGCAGGAGGGAGCATAGGACTCACCGGTGGGGCTGGTGCGTTTCTCAGCCGCACTCTTCTTCGCCTGCCAAGTAACCCCCAGGAGAAGCTTCAGGGCTGAGTGCAAATGTCCTATCGTCTCAGAGGTTCCTCTAGTCTCTCTCGGTCCGCGAGGTGTGGCCTGTTTGAGCAATTTGATTTTCTTCTACATTTTTCTCCCCACATCAAGCCTCCTGAACTTCTCTCTCGCCTGGCCCACGCGTTCCGCTCTTCGCCGGGCCCTTTCTCCGCCCCCCCAAACTCTCATCCGTCACGTGCCGCCTGAAAAATAGAATTGCCGCCATCACCCACCTCATCACTGTTCCTGCCAAGTTACTCCTTTCTCATCCTCCCCGGAGTCTTGGGTGTCCTCTCCCTGAGGTCGGGGCTCCAGGCTGGCACTGCTCCACCTGGACATGGCACGTGGCCCCCGGTCTTTCTCCTCCAGCACCCCCAAGCAACCCCTGCTTGGTTTACCAGTTGACATTGGCCGAGGATTGCAGGCTAGACACTTGGCTAATGTGGTTTCCCGGCATTCTCCTGTGTAATCCTTTCACCGGTACCCTGGGGTCATGCCATGATCATTCCCTTTCTACAGAGGAGGAAACTTTGTCTAGAGAGGTTGAGTGACGTGCCCAAAGTCACACAGCTAACAAGGAGCCCAGCTTCACCTGCATCACCTTCCTGGCACCGCCACCCCAACCACTCACACACCTCTGGGGAGCTGTCTCCCTCAGTGACCTTTGTCTTCTCCCCCCATCTCCCCTTGCCTCGCCAGGATTCACGGGCACCAGATGTGAGGAAGACATTGATGAGTGCGCGAGCTCTCCTTGTGCCAACGGTGGGCAGTGCCAGGACCAGCCTGGAGCTTTCCATTGCAAGTGTCTCCAAGGTACAAGGGGGCGCCCACACTGGAGGGATACAGCTAGGTGGGAGCCGATGGCTGTGCAGGTCCCTGAGCCTCCTCCTGTGCTCTAGGCTTTGAAGGCCCACAGTGTCAGGTAGAAGTGGATGAGTGTCTGAGTGGCCCGTGCCCCACTGGTGCCAGCTGCCGGGATCTCCCAGGAGGCTTCTCCTGCCTCTGCCCCTCTGGCCTCACAGGTGAGCAGGGGAAGGCATTGGAAGTGACTGGAGGGAGGCTTGAGTCCATTTAGGGAGAGGGGGTGCTTGGTGGATATTTGAGGGTTGGGATGTGAAACAGAAATGGGAGTGTTCTCTTGAGTGTTGTTCAATGTCAAGTCTGGAGAGCCATACAACCATGGGCGTGAGGGTCAAGGTCACCGTAGGACTCATCCTGAGTCCAACATGAAGGGGATGAATGGAGCTCAGGAACAGAAGGTAGGGCTCAAGTGGAAATGATCCCTTGTTTATTTGGCAAGCATTCATGGAACATCGCCTACCTCAGATGAAATGCACCCACTGCCACTGAGTCAATGTCCATACATAGAGACCCTATAGGACAGCATAGAACTGCCCCTTTGGGTTTCTGAGACTGTGAATCTGTGCAAGAGCAGACAGCCTTCTTCCATGGGGCAGCTAGTGGGTTCGAACTGCTGGCCTTTCAGTTCGCAGCCCAACATGTAAAATGCCCCTGACCCGAGCCACGGTATCTTCCATCACCTCCCGTGCAGTGAGGTGCAGGCTGGACAATGAATAAGGTAGAGCAAGGAAGAATCCATTCATCTGAATGACGGCATCGGTAAAGAATATTGGCAGTAAGTGAGTGGGCTTCGGGAAGAACACATTTGTGTTGGAGGAAGTCCAGCCAGAGTGCTCGCTTTGGACATGTTTCCAGGAGAGACCGATCCTTGGAAAAGGGCATTGTGCTTGATAAAGTAGAGGGTCATCAAACAAGAGGAAGCACCTCGGTGAGGTGGATTGACAGGGGGGCTGAGACAATTGGGAAGTGGCTCAGGACCAGGCAGTGTCTCATTCTGTTGTGCCCGGAATCAATATGAGTCAGAGCCAGCTGAATGGCATCCAACAGGCACGTATTCTCCTGAAGGATCCGCAGCGGCACAGCTGCCCATGGGAAGGGTGGCAGATAGAAACCACCGGGCGGCTCCGTGGCATGAAGAGGTGATTGTCTGCTCCCATCATGGCCCCACACTAGGCGCCCTTTGGGGCAGCTCTCTTCTCCTTCAGAGCCCATGGGGGTCAGCTGTGGCTCAGTGGCAATAGGTTGGTGTGATTCTGGCGTTGTGGAACAGCAGCGTGTCGGACGACAGCTACTCCGTGGCAAAGGTTTTACTGAAATGTCCAACGCGATGCCATATTACAGACGCAAAGTGGAGTGAGAGAGCTGCCGTCCTCAAATGACTTTGAATGTAGTGGGGAGAGACCAACACGTGAGCTCATTGCTCTAGCCCACATGGATGCCCTGAAGGAACCCGGGCGGCGTGGAGTTGACACATTGGGCTGCTGACTGCATGGTCGGCAGTTTGAGACCACCAGCCACTCCTTGGAAGAAAGACGGAGCGTTCTACTCCCGTAAACAGTCACCATCTCAGAAACCCACAGAGGCAGTTCGACCCTGTCTCAAAGGGTCTTTGTGAATCAACATTGACTCAATGGCAGAGTTTTGGGGTTTGGGTTTGGGTTTTTTTTTTGATGACCTGAAAGAGGAATGCACAAGATCCTATGAGATCACAGAAGACCAGCCCACCCAGAAAGATGGGAAGTGTGTGTGTTAGATGGAGTTCTCTAAGAAAAAAAAACAGGACACTAATGATTCTATATATATTCATACATATATGAATAGATAGATACAGCACAAAGGACTATAACAGCTAATTAGTCCACGCAGCAGTACAGAGGGCTCAGTTCAACTCACTTCTGTGGAACAGGTAATTTACTGGAAGTCCTTCAACTCATGAGGACTACTGGGTCCAAGGTCAAAGAAGCGGACAACTGAGACGTCCCTAGGGCAATGTAGGCACAGGCAGCAAACAGCAGGGCACGCCGCCAACAGTCAGCAGCTCCGGAAGCAGGCCCAGATGGGATATCCAACTCAAGCAAAACAAGAAGACAGGATTGGCCAGCCTCACGCTCAAGCAATGTACACACCAGCAACGTGGAAAAGCGGGTCTCGAAAGAACCTCAAAGTCTAGCAACACGATTCACGGGTTGGCTGTCCCACAGGTAGTGTAGCTCACAAGTTGAGGCAGAGAACCAGCTAAAGCAGCCGCAAGCTGATCTCAGCACCAGAGAGTGAGAGAGAGAGGGGTGGGCCTTGCCGAGCCTTTTATCTCTTTGCCCTCCAATCAAACTGCGACCTTATTAATCCCACGTGTTCCTATTGGTCAGATTGACACAAGAAACCTACCTGTCGCAGGAAGGCTTCTTGGAGAAGGTGATGGCCGAGTTGAGCTTTGAAGGATGAGTAGGAGTTTGTCCAGATAGAATGGTCAGACGCTGTTTAGGTTGGAAATAACTCCACATGCAAAGGGAAGAAAAGTGCCTCCCATTCAAGGAAGCCGAGCAAAGGTGAGAAAGGTAGCATCTGTAGGAAGGCCATGCTGTATAGGACCCTGAGTTGTTCAGGGGAGTTCAGAAATGTCCTAGAGGCCGTAGGAGGCCATGGAGAGTGAGCAGGTCATGCATCGGAAGCGGTCTTTGGCCCCATCACAAACATGGAAGGACTCTGTTTTCCCTCTGAGCCATCTCTCTTCACCCAGGCCAGTTTTGTGAGGTCCCCCTGTGTGGCCCCGACCTGTGCCAGCACACACAAGGATGCCACGATTGGGAGGACAAGGCCCACTGCGTCTGCCCTGACGGAAGCCCTGGCTGTGCCCCCAGGGCAGACAACTGCACGTGCCAACATGGGCACTGCCAGAGGTAAGACCTTCCAAGCCCTCTCCCTCTGCAGCCTCCTCGGTCCGGTGGAGGGGACAGCGGTAACGGGAGGATCTGTGGGAAGTGATGAATGTTGAACAGGGAGGAGATGCTCAAGGTCTTAGGTCACAGCCAGTGGGCATGCTCAACTTGTGAGAGCTTTCTAAAGCAGGAAAAGCTCACACATAACGGGGGGCAACAGAGTGAGAGGTCCTAACTGAAAGAAGAACAGTAAACCCCAGGGCCAAGCCATCATTCGTTCGGCAAGCGTTTCTTGAGCATCTACTATCTGCTATGGCTGTCCCAGTCACGGGGGAAGAGACAAGAATAAAAGACAAAGTACCGCGTTCTCGTGAAGTTTGCATCCCAATGAAGAAGAAAATCTGTAATAGAGGAAGTGTGTGTGTGTGTGTGTGTGTGTGTGTGTGTGTGTGTGTGTAAATAAAGCATATTCGGGGAAGGATGATTCTGAAACCACACTTTAGCGGATCCACTAGGAGAAGGAAACACCGCCCCCTTTCTCTTCCTGACCAGGTCCTCCTGTGTCTGCGACGTGGGCTGGACAGGGCAGGAGTGTGACGCGCAACTAGGGGGCTGTGTCTCCATGCCCTGTGCTCATGGGGGGACTTGCTCCCCCGTGCCCTCTGGCTACAACTGCACCTGCCCCACGGGCTACACAGGTGAGGCCCTCTCTAAACCATGCACACCCCGGGCTGACCACCCCCTAAAGTCAAGGCCGAGGCCAGTAGAGACATGTGTCCAAAGGCTCTGAGTCTCAGTCAACACCCCAGAGGACTGGGCCTAAGCTGTGGGGAACACTGGTGAGGTGCAGGAGGTGGGGAGGAGGAGAAGAGGTCGGGTGGGGGAAGAACAACAGGAACTGAGATGAGGAAGCGGAGGCAAAGGAAAGAGGAGGTGGGTAGAGAGAGGAGAGGAGGAAGACTCCCATCGCCCACCCCGTCTCCCTCAGGGCCCACCTGCAGTGAGGAGGTGACAGCATGTCACTCAGGACCCTGCCTCAATGGTGGCTCCTGCAGTCCCAGCCCCGGTGGGTACTCCTGCACCTGCCCTCCAAGCCACACAGGGCTCCGCTGCCAGACCAACGCTGACTACTGTGCTTCTGGTGAGTGCCCGCCGTGTCCTGAGAGTACACCACAGGGGCAAGGGGCAGAGCCCCCGGAAGGCAAGAATGCCCTATGACCCGATGGCAGTCAGCAGTTATTCAGATGGGGGGCGGGGGGTGCCGTGTGTGGAGTGTGACTGAGGTCACAGGCCAGGTTATAGGCAAGGAACCCAACCCCTCACAGCCTCCTCTCTCCAGCCTCGTGCCTCAATGGGGGGACCTGTGTGAACAGGCCTGGCGCTGCCTCCTGCCTCTGTGCCACGGGCTTCCAGGGCCCACGCTGTGAAGAAAGGATCCGCCCCAGCTGTGAGGACAGGTGAGACCCCCCTCCAGGAAGGCAGGGAGGTCATCTGCCTCTCTGGCTGCCTTTGGGCTCTCGGCTACCACTCATGGCACCTCCCTGAAGCCTTCCCTTGATTTACCCTCCTGGTTTCCCATCGCCCCTGAACCTCTCTCTGACTCTGCTCTGTCTCTGTCTTGTCCAGCCCCTGTAGGAACGGGGCAACCTGCCAAGATGCCCCACAAGGTCCCCGCTGCCTCTGTGCCCCTGGCTACACAGGAGGCAACTGCCAGGTAAGCTGCACAGAGCCACGGGTACAGAGGTGACCCGAGAGCTCTAGTGGAAAGGGGGCTGGGGGACTAAGTGAGGGTCAAGAGTCAGACAGAGGTAGGTCGGGATGTATCTTGAACATTGTACGGAACCAACAAGCTAGGATCAAGGGGCCTCTGACCCCAGGGTCTGCTGTAGAAGGTGGGTATCAATGGACATCAAGGGTGGTCTCCTGGTCGCAGACCACTCATAAGAAAGCCGGAGAGAGAAAAGATGTTGAGAAGCTGGCGGCTGGCAAAAGATCTTCCCTGGATCTGTAAACCTGATGCTCTGTCCTGTCTCCTGCTCCTCCCCTTAGACCCTGGTGGACTTCTGTGCCCAGAAGCCCTGTCCACCCAATGCCCACTGCCTTCAGGCTGGACCCTCCTTCCAGTGTCTGTGCTCCCAAGGATGGACTGGGCCTCTCTGTGACCTGCCACTCTCCCCCTGCCAGCGGGCTGCTCTGAGCCGAGGTACCAGCCCAAGGGCAGACTGGGAACCCGAAAAAGGAGAGGAAAGATGTCTCCTCTACCCCATCCTGAAGAGCCCCCACACACAACCTTGAGGCAACACCCCAACGAAACAATGCAAGCCACCCACCGTCACTGGTTCCACTGCCCGCCATCTGCCTAGTTCACGCCCACACAGCTCCGCTCCTGTCATCACCCGCCAGCAACCCCCAGCGGCCCAGTCAGCATGGTTCCACTTGAACACAATCACCAGGGATATAGCTTATCTCTGTCACTAGCCTTGCAACTCACAGTGCAGCACACTGAACCCAACCACCCGCCATGCCCTACAGGCAGAGTGGTTATGCGTTGGGCCGCGATCCAAAAGGTCGGCAGTTTGAAACTACCGGCTGCTCCACGGGGAGAACGTCAAGGCTTTCTACTCCCATAAAGAGTAGAGGGTCACAGTGTCTGAAACCCACAAGGGCTGCCCTGTCCTATGGGGGCACTGTGAGTCGGGATTCACTCGGTGGCGGGGAGTTTTCTTTATACCCCGTGCGTCCCAGCCCGCCCCCATCACTTTGGGGTTGCACAATGTGAACGAAGACCCTCCTCGGTCAGACGAGATTTGAGATGAAGAGAGTTCAGGAAAGAGTTTACAGAGGGGTGGCGGACAGGGCTCGCAGTGAGAGAACATCAGAGAGGATGTAAAATACAGGGGACAAGACCACCACCAGATAAGTCACATCCCCTTACCCAGAGCTGCCCGCCAGCCCTTTCTTTTCCTGAGATTGATTTTGAACCCACCAAGCAGTCTGGTAGCCTAAAGAGGCCAACATTCTGGCCCCAAAAGAGGTCAGAGGAGGAAGTTGATGTTTTTAACCACTTCGGGCTCAGAACAACCTCCACCCACCCCAAGAATACTAGCTGCCCCCAAGAGATCCCAATGGTCTCTGCTCAGCCTGCCAGTGCCCTGCTCACGGTTCCACCACCAGCCCGGCCACCCGAGCTACATCCGTCCCCATCTGCCTCTGTCCCCAGGCACGGAGGTCTCCGTCCTGTGCCAGAACGGAGGGCTCTGCGTGGACCGCGGCCCCTCCCACTTCTGCCGCTGCCCGCCCGGATTCCAAGGCAGCGAATGCCAGGACAGGGTGAACCTGTGTGACTCCAGGCCCTGCCAGCATGGGGGCACCTGTGTGACCCAGCCCAATGGCTACCACTGCCAGGTGAGAGGCTCCGGAGGGAAGGGGGGAGACAGGCGAGTGGGATGCAAAAGACAGTAGTCAGAGGCCCCCATCCCCACCCCTCAGATAACGCTTTCTCTTCCCTTTCCTTACACATCCAACCAGTCACCAAGTCACGTCATTTCACCACCTAAATAGCTCTCAGACTGGTCCTGTCCCTTTCTTCCGACCGCCCGAGTTCGGGCCTTTGCTCATTCTACCTGGACACCTGCAGCAGGCTCCTCACCAGCGTCCCTGTCTCCGACCTCGTGCTCCAACCCATTCCGTCTCTCCTGGCCCATGCAGGCTGCTCTCCTGAAAATGCTGGACTAACTGGTCACGCCCCTGCTTACATCTGACAGCCGGTACCCTCCTCTGCAGGAATCAAGCCCAGGGCCAGGGCCCTGCATGGCCCAGTTCTGCCTGCCTCTCGGGTGTGCTCAGCCCTCCGACTGCTCCCCTGCCAAACCAAGCCTATTGCGTGGATTCCAATTCACGGTGTGCTCCTGTGTACTCAGCAGGCCGGCTCCGCAGGGTGTCAGGGCTGCAATCTTTACACAAACAGTCACCTGGTCTTCCCTCCACAGGGCCGCTGGGGGTTCAAACCGACAACCTTTAGGATAGGTTAGTGAGCGCAGTCTGCAGCCGCCGGACAACACATAATGGCTTCCCTGCACATCCATACTGGTCCCTGCCTCTCTACCTTTCCCCCTGCTGTTGCCTCCGCCCAGAACACCCTTCCCCACATCTCTGTCTACAGTGTGCCCCAGGCTACAGCGGACAAAACTGCTCAGAGGAACCTGATGCTTGTCAATCCCAACCCTGTCACAACCACGGGACCTGTACCCCCAAACCTGGAGGCTTCCACTGCTCCTGCCCTCCTGGCTTCGTGGGCCTGCGCTGTGAGGGGGACGTGGACGAGTGCCTGGATCGGCCTTGCCACCCCAAGGGCACTGCAGCCTGCCACCCTCTGGCCAATGCCTTCTACTGCCAGTGTCTACCTGGACACACAGGTGAGGGGGAAGGGTGCGAAGGCATCCTTGGGGCACACCTGAGCAGGTCAAGGACACCTAGACAGTCTTCACCCCTAAAGCTACCAAGTCCTCTTGTCCACCCACCTTCCACGACCCAGATGCCCAAGATGCCATGCCTGTGTGTCTGGTGCTGGGCCAGCTCCTAGGGAGGGGCCAGGAGATGCAGTGATGGAAGCGTGTGTGAGGGCCAGTCTCATGGCCCCTGTTCCATTGCCAGGCCAGTGGTGTGAGGTGGACATAGACCCCTGCCAGAGCCAGCCTTGCTCCCACGGAGGGTCGTGCGAGGTGGCAACAGGACCAGCCCCGGGTTTCACCTGCCGCTGCCCCACAGTGAGTGACCACAAAGCCCCTTTCCCTGCTGTCCTCAAGCACCTGTGCCATTGGACTGAAGTCCTACGGGGACCAGGGGGACTCTGGAGCAGAAACTTAGGAAAGGAAGCCGTCCCAGGCTCACGGTGGTGAGTGGTGGGTCGCAGAAGCAGTCAGGAAAGCCAAGGTCTTGGAGTACCATGAATGAAATGTTCCAGAAACCCAGACCTTGCCTAATGGAAGGCAAGAGCTCCCCAAGGTCAAGTTGAATGCTCTTGGATAAGTTCTTATCACTGCATGCCTGTATGTGTGCAGATGTAATGGCCCTCTGATGATTAGAGTTAGGTTGATCTTAACAAGCTCTGGTTCACGACACGCTGCCATCACTGGCGTATGCATGGTCAGCTTTCGATTTCTTTCTTATGTTAACAACAGATCACCCAAGAACCTGATCTAAAAATGACAATATTGACAATAACTTGGATCTACTTCATGTGATCCTCCTCTATCCTATTCCTCCTCCAGGGAGAGAGGGAGAGAGAGAGAGAGAGAGTTAGGGAGTTTTAAAAATTTATGCAGAATATATGTTGTTTGCTGCCCTGCCAGCACTTAACCTGGCGCCACCAGGGCTCCTTGCTAAGCGTATATACATGTGCACACACACAGTCTCACTGACCCAGTGGTGAAAGTGCTGGGCTGCTCACTGAGAGGTCAGCAGTTTGAGGCCAGCCAGCAGCGCCTCAGGAGACAGATCTGCTGGTCTGCTTCTGTCAAGACCACAGACAAGGACTCGCGGTGGGGCAGCTCCACCCTGCCCTGTAGGGGCACGATGCATTGGGATTGACTCAATGGCAAGGGATGGGTTTGAATTACACGTGCACATATGTACGTGTGTGTATGTCTGTGTGTGTACACTTAAGTATATATGTGTGCACCTACGCCCGCACCCAATTGATGCCGAGTGTCCATCTGAGACCTCCATCCCAAATTGGTTCAGCCTTTTATTATCAGTATCTTTATAAATCCTCTTTGTCTCTGGGTATTGGAAACGTTACATTCAAACATCTGCCGGTGAACATCCGAGGAAGAAAACGTCAGTAAATTATGCACTGTAACATTGTATGGAGCATATATTACTCATGATAAGATGTGATTCTTCCTCTGCTCCCCCCACCCAAAAAATATGAACAGACAGTGCTACATTCAGTTCCTCATAGCTCACACCCATCTGAAGCCAGGGAGAGACTCCGTGTGCATATCCTAAGTAACTTATCGGTAGTTTGCTGGTAACGTTATCAGCAGCTTCGAGCTCTTTGGAGTCAGTCCCCCAGGACCTGTCTCACGTTTACAACGATGTTTCACACCCTGTGACTCACCCATTTTCACTCCTGCGTGCTCTGTGCTGCGTGATACGACCACGAGTCGTGGCTGTGCCCACTGTAAAACAGTAGCTTGATGCTCTCCGAGGTCCCTTGCCATAGGGCTCCTCTGTTATGGTAACCCAGGTGTTTGCTGAAGGGGCAGGAGATAATAATAAAGCCCCCCATCTCTCCTCCCCTCTGCAGGGTTTTGAAGGCCCCACCTGCAGCCGTAGATCGCCCTCCTGTGGCCTCCATCACTGCCACCATGGTGGCCTCTGTCTGCCCTCCCCCAAGCCTGGCTCCCCACCCCGCTGTGCCTGCCTTAGTGGCTATGGGGGCCCCGACTGCCTGACCCCTCCAGCTCCTCATGGCTGCGGCCCCCCCTCCCCATGCCTGCATAATGGCAGCTGTTCAGAGACGCCAGGGTTGGGGGACCCAGGCTTCCGATGCTCCTGCCCCCCCAACTCTCCAGGCCCCCGGTGTCAGAAGCCAGGAGCCAAAGGGTGTGGGGGCAGAGGCGGAGACGGGGCCTGTGATGAAGGCTGCAGTGGCCCCTCAGGCAACTGGGATGGGGGGGACTGCTCCCTGGGCATCCCCGACCCCTGGAAGGGCTGCCCCACCCACTCCCGGTGCTGGCTGCTCTTCCGGGATGGGCAGTGCCACCCGCAGTGTGCCTCCGAAGAGTGTCTGTTTGATGGCTACGACTGTGAGACCCCTCCGGCCTGCAGGTGAGCCCCATGCCCACAAGCCCGCTGTCCAGGGCGTTTCCACCTTAATCACCCGAGGCGCCCAAGGGCACCGGGGAAGGAGTGGGGAGGGCGGTATTGAAGGGAGCATCCCGAGCAGGCATGGCCTCTGGGTCCCTGTGTCATGGTTGGGGGGGTCCAGTCCACCAGCATCCCCCTGGCAACCAGGGCCCTGGAGGGAAAGGGCCTGCCTCTCCTGCAGAGGAGAGCCCCGGGAACCAGGGGGCAGGGGAGGGGAGGGCAGCAGGGAGCCAGGGCAGCGTGGAGATGGGGTGAAAGGTGAGCTCAAGAAGCAAGGATGTCAGCAGACAGGGGGTCCACCCTGCCATCCAGGGCCTCACGAAGCCCACACCTGACAGCAAGGCCCGCCCAAGGCAGTGGGTGTCAGGAACCCCACCTGAGGCAGGGAGGGTAATTGGGCCTCCCAGGCCTCCTGACGCCCCTCTCCGTGCCCCACAGCCCAGCCTATGACCAGTACTGCCGGGACCACTTCCACAATGGGCACTGCGAGAACGGCTGTCACACTGGGGAGTGCGGCTGGGACGGGGGTGACTGCAGGCCCCAAGCTGGGGACTCACAGCAGGGGCCCTCCCTGGCCCTGCTGGTGGTGCTGAGCCCCCAGGCCCTGGACCAGCAGCTGTTTGCCCTGGCCCGGGGGCTCTCCCTGATCCTGAGGGTAGGGCTCTGGGTGAGAAAGGATAGAGACGGCATGGACAAGGTGTACCCCTATCCTGGGCCCCAGGCCGAAGAGGAGCTAGGAGGAGCCCAGGGGCCCTCTCGGCAAGAGACAGCAGGCCCCCCAACATCGTCCCAGGGACAGGAGACAGACTCTCTCAACACTGGGTAAGGCGGCTGGGGAGAGGGGAGGGTCAGACATTAGTGTAATGAGCAAAGGAAAGGCAGGGAGCCAGGGACCAACACAGGTCTCTGAGGTGTCTCCCCCACAGGTTCGTGGTGGTGATGGGTGTGGACTGGTCCCACTGTGGCCCCGACCACCCTGCATCCCGTTGTCCCTGGGAGCCTGGGCTCCTGCTCCGCTTCCTTGCCGCCATGGCTGCAGTGGGGGCCCTGGACCCCTTGCTGCCTGGACCCCTCCTGGCTGCCCACCCTCGTGCAGGCACTGGTAGGTGAGCCCCTGCCATGGCCTCAGACCCTTGCTCCCAGGTCAGCCGCCGCCGGGCCAGCCACAAACCATGGAGGTCCAATGTTGCTGGGATGCCCTTACCCTTGTTGACCCCTCTGTCTAATTGGACCCCTCCTGGCCCATTTGCTAGGCAGTCTCCTTCCGGACTTCCCTACGCACTTTATCCTAACCTCGCTCGGAGCCATGGCACAGTGCGGGCTTGGGCTCTCCCCTCTACCGGGCAGATATCCAATCGTCTTCATGGCCACATTCACAGTCCATGAAAGAATTGTGACAGCTGGGGCCTCCATGGCGCTCAGTAGGAGTCCTGTCCAGCTCGAAGCGCTTTCCCACTATTGGCTCACTTAATCCTCCCAATAACCCCGAGGTAGTACTGCTGTCAGCCTGTCTTGCAGATGAGGACGTTAAGGCACAGAGAGGTTACTGCACATGCCCAAAGGTCCCACAGTAATAACCAACCTGGCTTCTCTGTGTGACTGTCCTTCCACCCGGACCCGAGCAGACCTCCCTGCCAATCAGCTCCCCTGGCCTGTGCTGTGCTCTCCGGTGGCTGGGGTGCTTCTCCTGGGCCTAGGGGCGCTTCTTGTCCTCCAGCTCATCCGGCGGCGGCGCAGGGAGCATGGGGCCCTCTGGCTACCCCCTGGTTTCACCAGCCGGCCCAGAACTCAGCGGACACGCTGCCGGCGCCGTCCACCCCTGGGCGAGGACAGCATCGGCCTCAAGTGAGAATGAGGAGGAAATAGGGTTTGGGGAGACTCTGATGGTCCTAAGCCCTGGTAACCTCTGCTTACCCGTGTCCCTCCAGGGCCCTGAAGGCAGAGGCGGAAGCTGAAGAGGACGGAGTTGTGATGTGCTCGAGCCCCGAGGAGGGCGAGGTGGGTGGACCAGGGAAAGGGCAGGGACAGGGAAGGGTCATGGAGAAGAGGGAGGTAGTCAGCTGCTTTCTCTGATCCCTGCCCTGGCTCCCAAGGTCGAAGGAATGACCCCACCTTCCAAGTGCCAGCTCTGGACTCTAAGCGGAGACTGTGGGGCGCTCCCCCAGACAGCCATGCTGACTCCCCCCCAGGAGTCTGAGCTGGAGGTCCCCGACGTGGACGCCTGTGGACCTGGTACGTACCTCCTCAGACAATTTTTAGAGTCACCAAGCCCTTGAATGTCAGAACTCGATGTCGAGTTATTGCCTTAAAACTGTGGTCCTCAAAATGTAGTCTATGGATCAGCAGAATGTTCACCAGCGGGGAATTTGGCCATTTCTCTGGGCTCCACCGGAGACGCAGATTCAGAAAGTCAAGCCTGTGAGGTGCGTAGGCTGCAGGTTTGAGTTTGAGAAGGGCCACCCTACAAGTTAGAGAATTAGGGCCTGCTGGCACCCTTTGTAGGTAAGAATAAAGCCCGGGGAGAAGTAGAAGCCAATTGACTGAAAACACACCGAGTCAAGAGCCAGAGCCTCCAGCCCTGGTTCTCCACTCCTGAGCCTCCTCCACTGTCTCCCCAACTGCACCATCGTGTCCTGACTGATTTGCTCCTTGTGACTCTCACCCACAGATGGGGTGACACCTTTGATGTCAGCAGTCTGCTGTGGGGGGATGGCCGCCAGGACCTTCGAAGGGGCCTGGCTGGGAAGTCCTGAACCATGGGAACCTCTGCTAAGTGGAGGGGCCAGTCCCCAGGCTCACACCGTGGGCACTGGGGAGACCCCTCTGCACCTGGCCGCCCGATTCTGCCGGCCAACGGCTGCCCGTCGCCTACTTGAGGCTGGAGCCAATCCCAACCAACCAGACCGGGCAGGGCGCACCCCGCTTCACACGGCTGTGGCTGCGGACGCCCAGGAGGTCTGCCAGGTCAGCAAACACTAGCGTGCCTGACGTTTCCCCGTAAAGCTGGGGCAAAGTCTTCCCGGTTTGGTCAAGTAAGTTGGCGTGAGCTCAGGGACTTGAAAGAAAGGCGGGTGGGTGCGTATGATGACCCAGCTGCTTCAAACCAGTTTCAACTCATGGCCACCCCTATCAAGAGTCGAACTGTGCTCCACCGTGTTTTCAAGCTGGCTTTCGTCGCAAGTGAGTGGCCAGCTCTTCCTTCCGGGGTGCCTCCAGGTGGGCTCACACCGCCAACCATACAGTTGGCAGCCGAGCACTAACTAACTGTCATACCAACCAGGGAACTCCTGGATGCGGCCTGGGGACAGGTTAAAAGTGTTCAGGGCCCGAGCTGGCAGTGCAGGACATCCCAAAGGTCACTGGCCTTCTCTGGCCCTTCAGCTCCTGCTCCGGAGCCGGCAGACGGCAGTGGACGCACGCTCGGAGGACGGGACCACACCTCTGATGTTGGCCGCCCGGCTAGCAGTGGAGGATCTGGTTGAAGAGCTGATTGCAGCCCAAGCAGACGTGGGGGCCAGAGACAAATGGGGTAAGGGATAGAGGTTACACAGACGAGGCCAAAGGGGGTGATGGGCAGCAAAAGGGCAGTCTGGAAGCCAAGTCATCCCTTCCCGGGCTAAGGCTGCGCCGCATTGGCAGTACCAAAGTGGCGAGCGCCTATCTCCCCTCCAACGACACGCCACTCCTCAGCCAGCAGGGAGGTGGGCTGAGAAAGAGTGGTCTCCCGGTCGCACCGACCCGAGAACAATGCCCCATTGTCCCTCCGGCGCGCCAGTGACTCCATCACCAGGGGACAAAGCTTCCTGCCGGTCGGCGGTCGCCAGGGCAACCCTTCCCGCCTTTGAGGGACTCCGCCGGGCGGGCGTCGCCAGCTCTGCCCGCACGGGCAGACCCCGTGGGAAACCGGAACCCGGGCGTCGGTTCCCAGCCCCGGGGGGAACAACTCCCCACGTCATCCCGCAGGCAAAACCGCGCTGCACTGGGCCGCCGCCGTGAACAACGCCCGGGCCGCCCGCTCGCTGCTGCAGGCTGGAGCCGACAAAGACGCCCAGGACAGCAGGGTCAGACTGCAACCGCGAGCTTCCTCTTAAAAAGGGGGGCGTGGGCGAGGTGGCAAGCGCAGGAACCGAACAACAATCACTGCAAAATTAAAACGTGCAGGGGGCGGGGCGGGGCGGGTCGTGGAGAGCCAGTCCAGTGAGCGCGGCCCTGCCTGGCCCCTCCTTCCTAGCCATCTCCTCTCTCGCAGGAGCAGACCCCGCTCTTCCTGGCGGCCCGAGAAGGGGCAGTGGAGGTGGCCCAGCTGCTGCTGGGCGCCGGGGCGGCCCGAGGGCTGCGAGACCAGGCCGGACTAGCGCCCGGAGACATCGCCCGCCAGCGCAGCCACTGGGATCTGATGACGCTCCTGCAGGGGGCGGGGCCGCCGGAAACGCGTCACAAAGCCGCGCCGGGCCGCGGAGCTGGCTCCGCCTTGTGCGGCCGGGTCACGTCGGGGAGCGCGCCCCCGCGTGGGAGCGGGGCCCTGCCGCGCACCCGGACGTTCTCCGCCGGAGCCGGCCCTCGGGAGGGCGGGGCTTGTCTGCAAGCTCGGACTGTGTCTGCTGACGTCGTCGCTTGCGGGGGCGGGGCCTCTTTGCACGGCCGGAGCCTATCAGGAGGAGGAACGGGAGGCCAGCCCCTGCGTGGGCGGAGGTTTTCCGCCGGCGTGCGCGGGCCTCGGCCCAGCCCTGCCGTCACGCGGGGAGGATCCGGAGGCGTGGCCCGGCGCGGGGGTGGAGCCTCGGTGGCTGACTGGCCCTGTGATTGGGTGGCTCTGGGAGCCTGCGGTCCCGCCCCCATCACGACCATCCCGCCTCCTTGCCTTACCCCATCTCCCGAGCGAGCATCTCCTCAAACTGCCTGGGGTCCCGAAGCTCTTAGTTCTAGACCCGGGGACCAGAATTAGAAGGCTGTGGAGGGGACAGGACACGCTGTAAATGGAATATACGACGAAGTGCAAGCAGTTCCGGAAGCCTTACAAACAAATTTGAGGTTCTAGAACCCCTGGTGGCCAGGGTTACGATTTGGACTGCTAGCCACAAGGTCAGCAGTTTGAAACCACTAGGCGCTCCCAGGGATGAAAAAGAGGCTTCCTATTCCTGTTAATACTTAGTCTCAGAAGCCCACAAGCGCATTTCGACTCTGTTCTGTAAGGTAACTGTGAATCAGAATCAACTCGATGGCAGTGAGTTTGGGCTTGTTTTTGAAAACCCCAAAAGTGAATTCATGAGTTTGGTTTCCCTCCCAAAATAAGTGGAGGCTTACCAAAATAGGCATAGCCTTCTACTAGAGAAGCTACAGCTTTGGAAAAAGGGTTTAGAGGGCTGGTTATAAGGGCGGCCCAGCCATTTGCCCTGAAAAATAGGAGTGAAAAGCTATAGGCAGGGTGCAGTGGGAGATGTCCCCTCAAAGGGAACCCAGAGCTACAAGCAGATGGGTGGTGTTTGCTATATGTAGTTCAAAGAAGCCTCTATCGGGCCTTGCTCCTGCCCACAAATAGCTGTGCCTACTATGCGCCAGGAACTGTACAGTGCCAAAGGGAGCCCCAAAGGCAATGCTAGCTGATGATTCTTTGCATTCTCCCATTTCCCCCACCCCCCACCCAAAAAAAGCTCTACTGCAGGGAAGAGGCACCACCTGCCTTACACATCACTATTTAATATCTGACACCTGTCCCCGTACAATAAAGCTGATTGTGAAGTGACTTTGGGGGGGAACGGGAGGGCCAAACGATAATAAATATATGGGAGTGACTTTGGGAATTGCGTGCCTGAGGTTCTACATTCGGATACAGGCTTTGTTATTACAAAGTAAGAATAATCCCCAATCATTTGGTGACCCTATGTTTGGTTTAGTTACCAGGCAGAACAAGGCTAGGGAAAAGTGTGCCCTAGTCCACACCCACTTTTTTTTAAATCATTTTATTGAGGGCTCGTACAACCTTATCACAGTCCATACATCCATCCATTGTATCCAGCACATTTGTACACTTGTTGCCATCATCATTCTCAAAACATTTGCTTTCTACTTGAGCCCTTGGTATCAGTTCCTCATTTTCCCCTCCCTCCCCGCTACCCCTTCCCCCATGAACCCTTGATAATTTATAAATTATTATTTTGTCTTAGTGTACACCATCTGACATCTCCCTTTACCCACTTCTCCACTGTCTGTCCCCCAGGGAGGAGGTTATATGTAGATCCCTGTCATTTGTTCTCCCTTTCTCCCTCACCTGCCCTCCACCTTCCCAGGGAACACTACTTTTTTGAGCCTATTCAGGAAAAGCTGGGCTCTGGCTCACACTAAATTCCTCCAGGAGCCCAGAGCAGGGAGGGCCCAGACTCCCTCCACCCTCCCGGTATCGCCACTCTCACCACTGGTCCTGAGGGGTTCATCTGTCCTGGATTCCGTGTTTCCAGTTCCTATCTGTACCAGTGTACATCCTCTGGTCTAGCCGGATTTGGAAGGTAGAATTGGGATCACGATAGTGAGGGAGGGGTGGGGAGCATTTAAGAACTAGAGGAAAGTTGTGTTTCATTGTTGCTACCCTGCACCCTGACTGGCTCATCACCTCCCCGAGACCCTTCTGTAAGGGGATGTCCAGTTGCCTACAGATGGGCTTTGGGTCCCCACTCTGCACTCCCCCTCATTCACAATGATTTGATTTTTTGTTCTTTGATGCCTGATCTTATGGACACTTCGTGATCACACAGGTTGGTGTGCTTCTTCCAGGTGGGCTTGGTTGCTTCTCAGCTAGATGGCTGCTTGTTTATCTTCCAGCCTTTAAGACTTCAGACACTATCTTTTGATAGTGAGGTGCCATCAGTTTTCTTCACCACTTTGCGTATCCACCCGCTTTGTCTTCAGCGATCGTGTTGGGAAGGTGAACATCATGGAATGCCAGTTTAATAGAACAAAATGTTCTTGCATTGAGGGAGTACTTGAGTGGAGGCCCAAAGTCCATCTGCTACCTTAATACTAAACCTATAAATATATGCACATGGGTCTATTTCCCCATCATCCTATATAAATATATTTACATATGTACATGCCTGTATTTAGACCTCTATAAATGCCCTTTGCCTCCTAGTTCTTTCCTCTGTTTCCTTTTACTTTCCTCATGTCCCACTATCATGCTCAGCCTTCATTTGGGTTTCAGTAATTCCTCTCAATTACATTGCCCTTGATCAAGCCCTACCAGGCCTCCTACACCCTCCTCACCACCGATTTTGGATCACTTGCCCCTTGTCCCTGGGTTTGTTAACACCACTTCCTTTCCCCCACCTCCTCTCCCATGTCTCCCAGGAACCGTCGGTCCCCTGTTTTCGCCTCCAGTTTGTTCATCCAGCCTATCTTATCTAGATAGACCTGCAGAGACAATAACATGCACAAATACAAGACAGAGCAAAACAAAGCATCAAAAGAAAACAAAACAACAAACCAATGACCAAAAAAAAGAAAAGCCTGTAAATAGTTCAAGGTCTATTTGTTGACCTTTAGGAGTGTTTTCCGTCAAGTCTGATGGGGTGCCACACCCTGACCCAAAGTCTATTTTTGGTCTTTCCTCAGGACTTCCTTGCTCTGCTCCCCTTGCTGTTCTGTTGCACGCCCTTAGTGTTTTGCCTTGGTGTGGTGGGGTCAGATCGGGTGCTACGTATTCCCACACGGTGTCTCCAGTGTTGGCCTCTAGGGCTATGGCTCAGTGAGGGATGTCATGTCTCGTAGTGGGGCCAGCCCTATAGTCCTCTCTGTGCATTGGCTGCTCTGAGCAGGGATATCATCCTGAAGGCCTGGTGGGCCAGGATGTGCTCCGCTCTCTCTTCCTCCCCTTTCGTTTGCTCCTGTGTGCTCTGATACGTCCCTCTCCCTGAGCTGTAGCTTCAGTGCTGTCGTCTGAAGTAGTGCATTGCTCTGGGGGGAATACCCACTTTTTTGTCCCTCACTCAAGGACAGTTAGTGAGGGTCACAGTTGACTGCTGAGGTCTCAAATGGGGCAAGAACACCTGTGGAAACTATCCTGGCGACACCTCTGGAGTGATGGGCCTACGAGGTTACCAAGCATTTGAAGGCTGCTAACAGTTACAGAGCACTCACTGGGTGCCTTGTCACATTTAATCCCCACATCCCTTCTGTGGCACGGGGTCAACAATCCCATTTCCCTTGTGTAGAAGGCTACACCATCTTTGTGGGAGATTGCACAGCCCTGAGTGCCAGAACCAGACTCTCTCACCATTCGTTGTAAGCCCCTTACCCTGGCAGGTGCCCTTTTAGAGGCACCTGTCCTGCTTCGGAGGCGCCCTGGTGGCGCCCTGGTGGCGTAGTGTCCTGGCTACCCAATGCGCAAGGTCAGCCAGCAACGAAGGAGAAAGCTGGGGCCGTGGGCTCGCTATGTTGGGAGAGCGTTCTTGGAAACTCCCAGAGGGAGTTCTGCCCTGTCATACAGGGTCATCATGAGTTGGCATCGGCTTGATGGCAGGGAGTGGGGTTTCGTTTTTGATCCTGTTCCTGAGGAGTCCTGGTGGCATCGCGCTTAAGCATGGGACTGCTCACTGTGAGATCAGCGGTTTGAAACCTTTGTCCAAGCTTCAGGAGAAAGATGAGGCTTTCTACTCCTGTAAAAAGTGATAGTCGATTCCAGGAGGGGAAGGGGAAGGTGGGAGGAGGTAGGGGGAACCGATCACAACGATCTACAGATAACCCCCTCCCAGGGGGGCGGATAACAGAAAAGTGGGTGAAGGGAGACCGGCCGGTGTAAGACATGAAAAAATTATAATTTATAAATTATCAAGGGTTCCTTGAGGGTAGGAGAGGGAGGGGGTGAAATGAGGAGCCAATACCAGGGGCTCAAGTAGAAAGAAAATGCTTTGAAAATGATGATGGCAACAGATGTGCTTGGCACGATGGATGGATGGATGGATGGATGGATGGATGGATGGATGGATGGATGGATGGATGGTGATAAGAGCTGGACAAGCCCCCGATAAAATGATTTTTTTTTTAAGTGAGTCTTAGAAACCCACAGGGGCAGTTCTACCCTGCCCAACAGAATCACTAGAAGCCGCAATGCGCTCAATGGCAGTGAGATTGGTTTGGGTTTGTCCTCCTCCCAGCCTGGGTGCTAGCCACCCATGCACCCTCATCAAGGACGGAAGAAAGTGTTGGCTCCCTGCTCCATTCCCACATCCCTCCTCCATGACCAGAGGAAATAGTCCTTACTCCTTGTCTGTGCTCAACCGAGTTGCCAGAATGTGATCGGTCCCCCATTTCTCATATGTTGGCACACATCCCCTTGAGGGGAGGAATAACTATTCAACACATTCATTGGATCTTAAGTAAATATGTAATATTTATGGTATGTTGGACCAGGTGCTAGGGGTGTGTGTGATGTGTGTGTGTGTGATATGCCTGGGTGTGTGTTCTCTGCTTAGTAGGGCAGCACCTTTCCTAGTCCCAATAAGTCTGAAGAGGTGTGGGGACAGCGAGACCTTCTTAAGGGTTGATCTTGGCGAAGGAAAGGTCTCCAAGACCTGTGGGTGGTGGTGGGGGGCGGGGAAGAAGGGGGTTTGAGGAGTGAAACCACTTCCTGTGTAGCTAGTTCCTGTGTTGACAGAGCTGAAGCAGAGGTGGGGGAGGAGGAAACAACGGAGGGGGGGCTGCTCATGGGGTGCTGAGGCTCTGAGGATAAAGATGCCAGAAGTCCTTCCCCACCCAGCGATCCCCCCCTCCCCACCCCCCAACTCCTGCAGCTGGAGGCGCGATTCCTCATCTCAGTGCACCCCTGAGGCTAGAAAGGTCCCGCAAACAGTTCGGGTGGGAAAACAGAACTGGAGGAAGTTGACAGGGATGGGCGGGGCCGCGGGGGTGTGGGGGAGCTGACCAGGAACCCAGCTTTCAGCTCAGAACCCAGGCATCCAGCCCCCAGCTGGCCCCCACCCCTTCCAGCCCCCCACTCTCCTCTGGAACCCAGAGTTCCAAATCCCAGCCACCCCTCCCCCTTCGGTTTCTCCCCTATTGGGGGATGGAGGCCGAAAGACCTCCGGAAGGAGAAGAGGATGGTGAGCAGGTGAGTGGGCACGGGGAGGGGGTCCGCAGACCCTGGCAGTGAGGACCTGGGGCAGAGACCCAGTGCTTCCTGAGCCGGAACTCCGGAGACTAAAGTGCTTGGACTGGGCACACTGAGACAGGAAGGGAGACCTAGAGGAAGCAGGGCACTAGCCTAGCCCTTGTGCCCTCCACTGCCCCCTGCTTGACGGGGCTGTCTCCTGGCTCCAGGACCCCCCCCAGGATGAACAGGGCTGGCCCCCTCTGAACACCACCACTCGGCCTTGGCGATCTGCCCCTCCATCCCCTCCCCTGTCTGGGACAGGACATACAGGTACTCCCCCCCACCCACCTTTCTGATCCCTTGACTGAGACCACCTCTTCC